CACCAGCTTATTTGAGGAAAAATCAGATAAAAGGCTTTAAAAAAATGAAGAAACCCTAAGAATTATGTGGGACTCTATCAAGAGGAATAACCTATCAGTGATTGGAGTACCAGAACAGGGGAGGATAACAGAAAATACAGAGAGAATTGTTGAAGATTTGTTGGCAGAAAACTTCCCTGGTATTGTGAAAGATGACAAGGTATCTATCCAAGATGCTTATCGAACCCCACATAAGGTAGATCCCAAAAGAAAGTCACCAAGATGTATTATAATCAAACTTGCCAAAACCAAAGATAAACAGAATTTTAAGAGCAGCTAGGGATAAATGAAAAGTCATCTACAAAGGAGAGTCAATAAGAATAAGGTCAAACTACTCAGCAGAAACCATGCAGGCAAGAAGGCAATGGGATGACATATATAAAGCCTCGAAGGAAAAAAACTGCCAGCCAAGATTTATATACCCAGCAAAACTGTCTCTCAATATGATGGTGAAATTAGGGCATTTCCAGATAACAGAAGTTTAGGGGATTTGCAAAAACCAAAGCAAAATTACAAGAAATACTAAAGGAAGTCCTCCAGTTAGAAAATCAGTAACATAAGATAACAACCCAAGGTTAGAACACAGGACAGAGCAACCAGATATCAACCAAGATAGGGAAGTCACAAAACTAAATCAAAGCTAAAACACTGAAAATAGGGAAACAGATGTCAATATGTAAAATATGACAACATTAGAACAAAAAAGACAGACTTAAAAAACGTAGACATAGATTTTTCATATGGAGAGGAAGTCAAGGTGATATAACAAAATAAAAGACTGGTATAAACTTAGAAAAATAGGGGTAAATATTAAGGTAACCACAAAGGAAACTAACAATCCTACAAGTCAAAATAAAAAACTAGAAAAATACAAAGACTCAGCAAACACAAAATCAACAACAATGAAAAAAGAGGAAAAGAAAAAACATAAAGAAAAATGACTTGGCACAGAAAATTAAGTGGAACAAAGAAACTGTGAACAATACACAACAAAAGACATCAAAATGACAGCACTAAACTCCAGAGTTCTGGACAGATGAAGAGGAAGGTGGCCAAAGTAATCAGGAAAACCACAAAGGCTTTTTGAATCAACCCTTGCTTTAAAAATTTGTTAGCTCATTTTTTCTGCTTTATTATGTAGTGCATGTGAAAAATAACTGGTAATCTTAGGCACGTGAACTGCCTCAGGTTACCTTTCTAGATACTGATTCTCACTACAGAGTATTATAGGCAGATGTGAAAAGAAGCACACATCTGATCTAAAAGAGTAGCAATTTTCCCTAAGAAGTGTCCCGAAAGGCTTAGGTTCGTCTATCCCTTCCACAGAAAATACAAATTCCAGCTGAAATTCCCTAGTTACTTAGGTTTAAATACAATTAGAGTCAGCAAATAAAATCTATGCCAGTGAGTCTCATACAATGGTGTGCATCAAAACCACCTGGAGGGCTTGTCAAAACATAGATTGTTTTGCCACACCCCCAGAATTTCTATGTCTGTAGGTCTAGGTTGCAATGAGTCAGCATCTAATTGACTGGATGGCAACAGGGTTCAACAGCGTATGGTAAGGAGCCCTGGTGGCACAATGGTTAAGCGTTTGGCTGCTAACGGAAGGGTTGATGGTTTGAACCCACTAGCCGCTCTGCAGGAGAAAAGATGTGCTCCTGTAAAGGTAACAGCCTAGGAAACCCTCTGGGACAGTCCTACTCTGTCACATAGGGTCACGATGAGTTGGAATCGACTCCATAGCACACAATAACAACAATAACACAGGGTAAGGCCCAGTAATTTGCATTTCTTAAGAGTTCCCAGTGATGCTAATGCTGCTGGTTGGGAGATCACCCTTTGAGAACCACAACTAGTTGCCTTTAAGTCGATTACAAGTACGATTCATAGTAACCCCAAGTATGTCAGAGTAGAACTGTGCTCCGTAGGGTTTTCACTGGATGATTTTTCAGAAGCAGATCTCCAGGCCTTTCTTCTGAGGTGCGTCTGGGTGAACTGAACCTCCAACCTTTCAGTTAGCAGCCAAGCACTTACCCACTTGCACCACCCAGGTCTATACAATTACATATTATGATCTTGTTTAAAATTCATTTGTTCACACTAACTACTTACAATTTGTCCTACCACAGAGTTAAGAGATCTCTAGCCTTGAGTGTGTACTTCCTAGTATTCCTAGCTTATCTGCTTATATTTCTAGAATGCACAGGAAGTCCCTAACTCACAAACATCATACTTAGAAATCATCCACTCCTATATTATGTCTGCTCTGGCCCCTAAAAACTCCTGCTGCCAATAATCAAGGAGTATTGTAAAAGCTCTCAATTTTTAGAGAATCAATGATAAAGAAAGGAAGGAAAGCTATGCTATACCTGGGACGAGACTCCTACTTTAAGACAGAAGTGATTTCTAGGATGGTACCTATGCTGTCGAGTCGATTCCAACTCATAGCAACCCTACAGGACAGAGCAGAACTGCCCCATAGGGTTTCCCAGGTGTGGCTGGTAAATTCAAACTGCTGATCTCTTGGTCAGTAGCCGAGCTCTTAACCACTGCGTTACCAGGGCTCCCTCTAGAATAGTGCTATTGCTGTTGTTGTGGCTGTTGTTAGGTGCCATCGAGTCAGTTCCAACTCATAGTGACCCTGTAGGACAGAGCAGAACTTCCCCATAGGGTTTCCAAGGAGCAGCTGGTGGATTTGAACTGTCGACCTTTTGGTTAGCAGCCGAGCTCTTAACCACTGTGTCACCAGGGCTCCCTCTAGGATGGTAAGGGGGTCTATTACGCATTTATACCTCAGTGTGATTTTGTTTACCCACATTAGTTTCTTTATCAAGCTAACTAGGGCTAAAGGCAGAGCGATAAGTAATGGTGAACACAGAAGACCTTGAACCAGCAGACAGACCTGAGTGGAAAGACACTGGGAACCTGCAGAAAAGTGCATCAGAGAGTGGGATAGAAAATGTGACTGCAAGAGCCATGCTGTGTGTGTGTTCACCAACTATTTCTTTTGCCTCCTAACCACATCGGAGAACTACCTTTCCCGGCCCCCTTGCATCCAAGAGGGGCCAAACGACTAGTTGTGCCCCTCAGAATATGGCCTGGTCCCTACAACAACCCACAATGACGGGTGTTCTCTTTGTTCTGCTGACCCTGCGGGAGTCTCTGAGGAGGTACTGGAGGACACAGCACCACTGGGATGGAAGACACCAGGATCTCTGAGGCACTGCTTGGAAGAGACGCCTCCATCAAGAACACCGACCCTGGACTTTGCCTAAGCAAGAACTAGCCTTTAGAGCATTAAGCCACTGAGACTGGGTGGGAGGATTATTTGTTACTGCAGCACAGCCAGTTGTTGATTCATGGTGACCTCATATGTTACAGAATAGAACGGTTCCATAGGGTTTTCTTGGCTGTAATCTTAACGGAAACAGATCGCCAAGACCTTTCTTCTGCTGTGCTGCCATGTGGGTTAGAACTGCCAACCTTTAGTTTACCAGTGAGGCGCAAACTATTTGTGCCACCAAGCCTTGCCTATTTAATATAGCTACAGAAAAGGAGGTGTGCAGATTCATCATCTTAGCTGACTGATGCCCCACTCCATTCTTCTGTATTACATAGAACCTACATTGCCTTTACCCCAGATCCCAGATTCCAGAATCCTAAAACTTATCCCAGACTTAGTGATTTAGAATCTCCAAGACTGCAGCACAGGAAATCTGAAAGACCCCTGGGCATTTCTTATACATACTACACATTCCCCTGCCTGGGGCTATGCTGAAAAGTCCCTTTCAAAGGACCAGTTTGTCCTTTACAAGAGACTGAGTAATCCTCCCGAGGTACACAGTTTAGGACATTTTTGTAGGTTTACCAATCCTGATGAAATTATTCTGAAGTGAGGATTTTAAAATTATGAATTGGCAGGAATCAAATATTTAAGTGTAATGGGTTTAATTAATTTAAAAGCTTTTAAGATGATGCAATAATTGGCATAAAGCTGATTGCCTAAAATAACAACCAGTGAGAAAGATTTAAATGTTCAATTAAAATGATATGCGTTTTATTGGTTGTGAGAGAGGTATTTAAATATGTAAAAAGATTGGCTCCCCATCCTCTCCAGCCTGGATGTAACTTCTGCCAGCCTACCCCCCTCCCCGGCCTCTTTCAAAGGAGTGTCTCTGCCCCTTTAGGATGGAGGCAGTCACTGGACAGACTTGGGCTGCAGCAGGAAGTTACTGAAGAACCCTAGCCTGAGGGTTCACAGTCAGCACAGAAGAACGTCACCTGAGATGTCCAAAACTGCCACTTTCTTGTTATTCCTCAAATACAGAAATACCACTTCCACACCGGGGCCTTGGTACTTGATATTTCTTCTGCCTGAAACAGTCTTCCTCCAGATACCTGAAAGACTTGCTCCCGCACTTCCCTTATGTTTCTTCTCAAATGCACGCGCGCACACGCGCGCACACACACACACACTCCATAACCCCTATTTTATTTTTCACCATCGGACATGTTAAATATTACATGTTTACTTATATACTGTCTGCTTCCCTCACTCACATGAGTTCCACGTATCTCTAGGGTTTTGAACACTGCCTGGCACATATATTGTTACTCTTGTTATTAGCCATCAAGTTGACCTCCAATTCATGGCAATCCCACACACAATGGAATGAAATGCTGCCAGGTCCTGCAGCATCCCCATGATCAGTTGTGAATCTCACCTTTGTGACCCACAGGGTGTGGATCACACCTTTGTGATCCACAGGGTTGATCCACAGGGTTTTCATTGGATGATTTTCCGTAGATTGCCAAGCCTTTCTTCCTAGTCCATCTGAGTCTAGAAGCTCCTTGAAATTTATTCAGCATCATAGCAACACACAAGCCTCCACTGACAAAACAGGCGCACATGGGGTACGTTGGCAGAGAATCAAAATCAGGTGTCCTGCACAAAAGGTGAGAATTCTACCACTGAACCACCAGTGCCTCCTGTCTGGCACATATTAGATACTTAATTAAATATTTTGAATGAATGAATGAACGGCCAACCTTATACAGACAAAGATTGTTGAATTTCAGTAATCTGACTCTCTCACAATCTTAAATAAAAGATAAGTATAGACTGGGCCTTGATATTTCAGCTATACAAATAAGAGAGGATTTTCTCATAAGTCTTTTGCTAAACCGACTATTGGACAGTTTGCTTTTCATATCATCCAGCAATTTTGTTTCATTCTGGGCAAATTCACCACAGAAGATACACTAAGAGAGTAGTCCAAAAATGTTTAACTTCTTGCATCCCAGAAAATATATTTGAACTGAAGTCTTTCTGTATGCAAGTTAATATTTTAAGATGGCATATATATTGGAAATTTGGATTTTACAAATGGGTTGTATTCTAAAAACACATAACTCAGGGCCTGTTTCCCCTTGAAAAGATGTTATAATGTGAGGTGGTAGCTGGTCCACAATCTACTAAAGCAACCCACCGCAGGCACTGATCATAATCATGTGACATGGGAGCGTGTGTCCTGGAGAAAAAAAAGAAAAGGTTAAGAGAGTCTCCCGTCTCCCGTTTTATCAGTGCAGAACTAGCTATAAGCAAAAATTTTAGAGAAGTCTGATTTGCCTTTAGTATCCTTCCAGGGTCTTCCTAACCTGCTCCCAGGACCACAGTCACAACTCCTGCAGGGAACCCAGTTCCCATGTTGTAAAGGCCCCACCTAGGTACTCGACCAGTCTTTCAGAGTAACCCCTGAAGTACACTTTAAATTTTTTTCAAGATAAGAGGGCTGGAAAAAAAACACACTCCATAATTATTTGTCCGTGAAAATCATTAATCATTCAGTCAAGCAAATATTAAAATTCTCTGGTAAAATATTATGAGAACATGAAGTTGAAGACTAATACATCATTTTATTTTTTCCACAGATCGTATTGATCACTTATAGATTCATTACCATTTTATACAAAAAATCAAGTTGCTATACTGTCATTACACATTTGGACTACAAAGACAAAGGGCCAGGGTTAGAAACCAGTGTCTGCCACTTACTGGCTTCTGACCTTCACCTTTCTGCAATTAAAAAGTAAAATGGACAAAAAAAATACAACTCATCTATCTGGATCATTATGAGAGTTAAATAATGCCTGGTTGATGGTAACTAAGGAGCCCTGGTAGCGCAGCAGTTTAGCACTTGGCTGCTAACTGAAAGGTCAGCAGTTTGAACACACCAGCTGCTCTGTAGTAGAAAGATGTGGCAGTTTGCTTCCATACAGAATACAGCCTTGATTATCAGATACATGAGGAAATGCTCACAATCATTAGCCATTAAAGAAATGCAAATAAAAACTACAATGAGATACCATCTCACCCCAACAAGGCTAGCATTAATCCAAAAAACACAAAATAATAAATGTTGGAGAGGTTGTGGAGAGACTGGAACACTTATACACTGCTGGTGGGAATGTAAAACGGTACAACCACTTTGGAAATCGATTTAGCGCTTCCTTAAAAAGCTAGAAATAGAAGTACCACACGATCCAGCTATTCCGCTCCTGGAATATATCCTAGAGAAATAAGAGCCATCACACAAATAGATATACACACACCCATGTTCACTGCAGCACTGTGCACAATAGCAAAAAGATGGAAACAATCTAGGTGCCCATCAAAGGATGAATGGATAAACAAATTTTGGTATATTCACACAATGGAATACTACGCAACGATAAGAACGACGAATCCGTGAAACATAACACGGATGAATAGGAAGGCATTATGCTGAGTGAGATTAGTCAGTCACATAAGGACAAACATTGTACAAGACCACTATTATAAGAACTAAAGGAAAGGTTTAAACATGGAAGAAAACATTCTTTGATGGTTACGAGGGTTCGGAGGAAGGGAGAGAGGTATTCACTAACTAGATAGTAGACAAGAATTATCTTAGGTGAAGGGAAGGACAACACACAATACAGAGGAAGTCAGCACAACTGGACTAAACCAAAGGTTAACAAGTTTCCTGAACACAACCAAACACTTCAAGGGACAGAGTAGCAAGGGCAGGCGTCTACGGATCATGGTTTCAGGGGACATCTAGGTCAACTGGCATAATAAAGTTTATTAAGAAAAGGTTCTGCATCCCACTTTGGTAAATGGCATCTGGGGTCTTAAAAGCTAGCAAGTGGCCATCTAAGGTGCTTCAATTGGTCCCAACCCACCTGAAGCAAAGGAAAATGAAGAACATCAAAGACACAAGGGAAATATAAGCCCAAGAGACAGGAAGGGCCACATAAACAAGAGACTCTATCAGCCTGAGACCAGAAGAACTAGATGGTGCCCGGCTACACCACTGCCCTGATGGAGAACACAACAGAGAGTTCCTGATGGGGCAGGAGAAAAGTAGGAAGCAGAACTCAAATTCTAGTAAAAAGACCAGACTTAATGGTCTGACTGAGACCCCAGAAGACATGGCCCCCAGACTCTCTGTTAGCCCAAAACTAAAACCATTCCCAAAGCCAACTCTTCAAACAAAGATTAGACTGGACTATAAGACATAAAATGATACTCGTGAAGAGTGTGCTTCTTAGCTCAGGTAGATACATGAGTCTAAATGGGCAGCTCCTGTCTGGAGGCGAGATGGGAAGGCAGAAAGGGACAGGAGCTGGTTGAACGGTCACAGGAAATGTGGGATGGAAAGAAGGAGTGTACTATCACAGTATGGGGAGAACAACTAGGGTCACAGAGCTGTGTGTGTATAAATTTTTGTGAGAAACTAACTCGAACTGTAAACTTTCATTTAAAGCACAATAAAAAAAAGAATACAGCTTTGAAAACCCTATGGGGCAGTTTTACTCTGTCCTACAGGGTTGCAATGAGTCAGAATGAACACAGTGGCAAAGGGTTTGGTTGGTTGGTTTGTTTTTATACATACTAAAGGCTCAATTCAAATGAGTGTTATGTGCTAATGTCATTTTTTGAAATTAAAAATATCATGATAAATAATATCTCAGTGATTTCTCACTTTCTCACGAGGCATTAAGATTTGGCAATTTTACTTCACTTTAATTACTTCTCACTAAGAAGGGCCAGGCAATCTACTTCTAAAAAAATTGGTAAGTGAAACCTTATGAATAGCAGTGGAACACTGTCTGATAAATGGCAGGAAGATGAGCCCCTGAGGTTGGAAGGCATTCAAAATACGACTGGGAAAGAGCTCGTCCTCAAAATAGAGTGGAACTTAATGACTTGGATGGAGTAAAGCCTTCAGGACCTTCATTTGCTGATGGGCCACGACTCAAAAGGAAAAGAAACAACTATACATCCACTAATAATTGGGACTGTAAAGTATGTAATATGAATCTAGGTAAATCGGAAGTTGTCAAAAATGAAACGGGATGCATAAAGATTGATATATTAGGTATTAGTAAGCTAAAAAGGACTGGTACAGGCCATTTTGAATCAGACAGTCATATGGTCTACTGTGCCAGGAATGTCAAACTGAAGAGGAATGGCATCACATTTATTGTCAAAAACATTTAAAGATCCATCCTGAAGTACAAGCTTTCAGTGATAGGATAATATGCCTACCACAAAATCCAGTTAATATGATTATTATCAAATTTATGTACCACCCACTAATGCCAAAGATGAGGAAATTGAAGATTTTTACCAACTTTGACAGTCTGAAATTGATAAAACATGCCATCAGGATATATTGATAATTACTGGTAACTAGAATGAAAAATTTGGAAACAAAGAAGGATCATTAGTTGGAAAACATGGCCTTGGTGATAGAAACCACGATGGACACTGCAGGATAGGATTTTGCAAGACCAACGACTTATTCATTGCAAACACCTTGTATCAACAACATGAATGGCGACTATACACATGGGCCTCGCTGGATGGAATACACAGGAATCAAATCGACTACATCTGCGGAAAGAGACGACGGAGAAGCTCAATATCATCAGTCAGAACAAGACCAGGGGTCGACTGCGGAACAGACTATCAATTGCTCATATGCAAGTTCAAGTTGAAACTGAAGAAAATTAAAACAAGTCCACGAGGGCCAAAGTATGACCTTGAGTATATCTCACCCAAATTTAGAAAATATCTCAAGAATAGATTTGATGCACTGAACACTAATTACCAAAGACCAGACAAGTTGTGGGATGACATCAAGGACATAATACAAAGAAAGCAAGAGGTCATTAAAAAGACAGGAAAGAAAAAAAAGACCAAAATGGATGTCAGGAGAGACTCTTAAACTTACTCTTGAATGAATGGTAGCTAAAGTGAACTGAAGAAAAGGTAACATAAAAGAGCTGAACAAAAGAATTCAAATGGCGGCTCAAGAAGACAAAGTGAAGTATTATAATGAAATGTGCAAAGACCTAGAGTTAGAAAACTGAAAGGGAAGAACACATTTGGCATTTCTCAAGCTGAAACAACTGAAGAAAAAATTCAAGTCTCGAGCTGCAATACTGAAGGATTCTATGGGCAAAATATTGAACCACACAGGAAGCATCAAAAGAAAATGCAAAGAATACACAGAGTCACTGTACCAAAAAGAACTGGTCGATAGTCAACTATTTCAGGAGGGAGCATATGATCAAGAACCAATGGTAATGAAGGAAGAAGTCCAAGCTGCACTGAAGGCACTGGTGAAAAGCAAGGCTCCAAGAATTGATGGAATACCAACTGAGATGTCTCAACAAACAGATGCAAAACTGGAAGCACTCACTTGTCTATGCCAAGACATTTGGAAGACAGCTACCCAGCCAACTGAGAGACCCATATTTGTGCCTATTCCAAAGAAAGTTAATCCAACAGAATGCAGAAATTATTGAACAATATCATTAATATCACACACAAGTAAAATTTTCTGAAGATCACTCAAAAATGGTTGCAGAAGTACATTGACAGGGAACTGCCAGAAATTCAAGCCAGATTCAGAAAAGGACTTGGAATGAGAGATATCACTGCTGAGGTCAGATTGATCTTGGCTGAAAGCAGAAAATACCAGAAAGATGTTTACTTGTGTTTTATTGACTATGCAAAGGCACTCAACTGTGTGGATCATAACAAATTATGGATAACATTGTGAAGGATCTGAATTCCAGAACACTAATTAAGTGCTCCTGAGGAATCTGTACAGAGACCAAGACAGTTGTTTGAACAGAACAAGATACTGAGTCGTTTAAAATCAGGAAAGGTGTGCATCAGGGTTATATTCTTTCACTATATTTACTCAATCTGTATGTATGCTGAGCAAATAATCCAAAAGCTGGACTATGTGAAGAACGTGGCATCAGGATTGGAGATTCATTAACAACCTACAATATGCAGATGACACAACCTTGCTTGCTGAAAGCAAAGAGAACCTGAAACACTTATTAATGAAGATGAGAGACATAAAGAAAGCAAAACTCCTCACAACTGGACCAATAAGCAACACCATGACAAACAGAAAATACTGACGTTGTCAAGCACTTCGTTTTACTTGGATTCACAATCAATGCCCGTGGAAGCAGTAGTCAGGAAATCAAACGACCTATTGCATCAGGCAAATCTGCTGCAAAAGAACCCTTCAAAGCGTTAAAAAGCAAAGATGTCACTTTGAGGACTAAGGTGTGCCTGACTCAAACCATGGTATTTTCAATTGCCTCGTATGTATGCAAGTGCTGGACAATGAATAAGGAAGATCAAAGAAGAACTGATGCCTTCGAATTATGATGCTGGCAAAGAATACTGACTATGCCATAGACTACCAGAGGAACAAAACAATCTGTCTTGGAAGAAGTACAGTCAGAATGCCCCTTAGAAGCAAGGGTGGTGAGACTTTATCTCACATACTTTGGACATGTTACCAGGACGGACCAGTCCCTGGAGAAGGATATCATACATGGTAAAGTAGAGGGTCAGCGAAAAAGAGGAAGATCTTCAACGAGATGGATTCACACAGTGGCTCCAAGAATGGGCTCAAATAGAGCAATGATTGCTAATATGGCACAGGACTGGACAGTGTTTTGCTCTATTGAACACAGGATCTCTATGAGTTGGAACCGACTTGAGGGCACCTAATAATAACAACAGCAACAATGTATTTCAAAAAAAACATTTTTAAATATCAAGAAAAATGTAGGAGAAAACATCAGCACTTTCAGACAGAGAAATGTGTGCCAATCTCAGCTCTTTTACTAATTAGCTGTGTGTCCCTGGACCATTTACCTTAAACTGCATGAGCTTTAGTCTCCTCAT